AGTCTACAGCTACAGTTGACTAGAGTCTACAGGCTACAGTTGACTGGAGTCTACAGCTACAGTTGACTGGAGGAGTCTACAGGCTGCAGTTGACCGAGGATCTACAGGCTACAGTTGACTGGAGGAGTCTACAGGCTACAGTTGACTGGAGGAGTCTACAGGCTACAGTTGACTGGGAGTCTACAGGCTACAATAGACTGCAGGAGTCTACATGTTACAGTAGACTGAGGAGTCTACACTACAGCTGATGGAGGAGTCTACAGGCTACAGCTGACTGGAGGAGTCTACATGCTACAGTTGACTGGAGGAGTCTACAGGCTACAGCTGACTGGGAGTCTACAGGCTACAGTAGACTGCAGGAGTCTACATGTTACAGTAGACTGCAGGAGTCTACAGGCTACAGCTGACTGGAGGAGTCTACAGGCTACAGCTGACTGGAGGAGTCCACAGGCTACAGTTGACTGGAGGAGTCTACAGGCTACAGTTGACTGCAGGAGTCTACATGTTACAGTAGACTGCAGGAGTCTACAGCTACAGCTGACTGGAGAGTCTACAGGCTACAGTGACTGGAGGAGTCCACAGGCTACAGTTGACTGGAGGAGTCTACAGGCTACAGTTGACTGGAGGAGTCTACAGGCTACAGTTGACTGGAGGAGTCTACAGGCTACAGCTGACTGGAGGAGTCCACAGGCTACAGCTGACTGGAGGAGTCTACAGGCTACAGCTGACTGGAGGAGTCTACAGGCTACAGCTGACTGGAGGAGTCTACAGGCTACAGTTGACTGGAGGAGTCTACAGGCTACAGTTGACTGGAGGAGTCTACAGACACATTTGACGGAGGAGTCTACAGGCTACAGTTGACTGGAGGAGTCTACAGGCTACAGCTGACTGGAGGAGTCTACAGGCTACAGTTGACTGGAGGAGTCTACAGGCTACAGTTGACTGGAGGAGTCTACAGACTACATTTGACTGGAGGAGTCTACAGGCTACAGTTGACTGGAGGAGTCTACAGGCTACAGCTGACTGGAGGAGTCTACAGGCTACAGTTGACTGGAGGAGTCTACAGGCTACAGTTGACTGGAGGAGTCTACAGACTACATTTGACTGGAGGAGTCTACAGGCTACAGTTGACTGGAGGAGTCTACAGGCTACAGTTGACTGGAGGAGTCTACAGACTACATTTGACTGGAGGAGTCTACAGGCTACAGCTGACTGGAGGAGTCTACAGGCTACAGCTGACTGGAGAGTCTACAGGCTACAGTTGACTGGAGGAGTCTACAGGCTACAGCTGACTGGAGGAGTCTACAGGCTACAGTTGACTGGAGGAGTCTACAGGCTACAGTTGACTGGAGGAGTCTACAGGCTACAGCTGACTGGAGGAGTCTACAGGCTACAGCTGACTGGAGGAGTCTACAGGCTACAGCTGACTGGAGGAGTCTACAGGCTACGCGACTGGAGGGTCTACAGGCTACAGTTGACTGGAAGAGTCTACATGTTACAGTAGACTGCAGGAGTCTACATGTTACAGTAGACTGCAGGAGTCTACAGGCTACAGTGACTGCAGGAGTCTACAGTTACAGTAGACTGCAGGAGTCTACATGTTACAGTAGACTGCAGGAGTCTACATGTTACAGTAGACTGCAGGAGTCTACATGTTACAGTAGACTGCAGGAGTCTACATGTTACAGTAGACTGCAGGAGTCTACATGTTACAGTAGACTGCAGGAGTCTACAGGCTACAGTTGACTGGAAGAGTCTACATGTTACAGTAGACTGCAGGAGTCTACAGGCTACAGTTGACTGGAAGAGTCTACATGTTACAGTAGACTGCCGGAGTCTACATGTTACAGTAGACTGCAGGAGTCTACATGTTACAGTAGACTGGAGGAGTCTACAGGCTACAGTTGACTGGAGGAGTCTACAGGCTACAGTTGACTGGAGGAGTCTACCGGCTACAGTTGACTGGAGGAGTCTACAGGCTACAGTTGACTGGAGGAGTCTACCATGTCTACCCAGTATATCTAACAACATCTGATATTCCATCTCTCCCGCTAGTAAGCCAGCGGAAGTCCTCGGTCAGGTGACCAAAAGCTCCAGCTCTGGGTCATATAACTAAGACCCATGTCAGGCAACACTTGTCCTGTTATCTGATTGGTCTTCCCTAACTGATCTCTACTGTGTTACCTGGAGTTTACCTGGAGAGAGTTTCGGGGGTCAACGCCCCCGCGGCCCGGTCTGTGACCAGGCCTGGACACATAAGCCACTGCACTCAGAAATCTCTGATTTACACACTTCTGAAGCTTTTGGGAAAATATTAAGGCTCTTTGGCATGTATCATGACATGTATCATGTCAAAATATTATAATTCCAGGGGTCATTGCCCCCTATAACTTGGTGTTTGGTCAAGCCTCCTAGTTGATGATTCCAGGGGTTACTGCCCCCTATAACCTGGTTGATGATTCCAGGGGTTACTGCCCCCTATAACCTGGTTGATGATTCCAGGGGTTATTGCCCCCTATAACCTGGTTGATGGTTCCAGGGGTTACTGCCCCCTATAACCTGGTTGATGGTTCCAGGGGTTACTGCCCCCTATAACCTGGTTGATGGTTCCAGGGGTTACTGCCCCCTATAACCTGGTTGATGATTCCAGGGGTTACTGCCCCCTATAACCTGGTTGATGATTCCAGGGGTTACTGCCCCCTATAACCTGGTTGATGATTCCAGGTGTCACTGCCCCTATAACCTGGTTGGTGATTCCAGGGGTCACTGCCCCTATAACCTGGTTTATGATCCCAGGGGTCACTGCCCCTATAACCTGGTTGGTGATTCCAGGGGTCACTGCCCCTATAACCTGGTTGGTGATTCCAGGGGTCACTGCCCCCTATAACCCGGTTGGTGATTCCAGGGGTCACTGCCCCTATAACCTGGTTGGTGATTCCAGGGGACACTGCCCCCTATAACCCGGTTGGTGATTCCAGGGGTCATTGTCCCCTATAACCTGGTTTATGATCCCAGGGGTCACTGCCCCCTATAACCCGGTTGGTGATTCCAGGGGTCATTGTCCCCTATAACCTGGTTGATGATTCCAGGGGTCACTGCCCCTATAACCTGGTTGATACCAGGGGTCACTGCCCCCTGTAACCTTATCAACCAGTATGTTGTTACTAAGTGAAAACATACCATCATGGGCACCACAGCCTGGCTGATCAGGAACTTAATAAAAGTGAACTCACCCAGTTCCATCATAAAGACAGGTTGGAATCCCCTTGGCAATACTCCTGTGAGTGAAAGGATGGTGCTGAAGAGTCTTGGTTCCTTTACACTTAGATTTACTTCTTAGGTTACATCGCACTCCTGCAACATCTGAATGTTGCAAATACTGTTTTGACACACGATATTTTGTGATAATTTGTGTTAAAACACTGCACAGCAGTGTAACAGTGACTCACCTGAAGTGTAACAGTGACTTACCTGAAGTGTAACAGTGACTTACCTGAAGTGTAACAGTGACTCACCTGAAGTGTAACAGTGACTTACCTGAAGTGTAACATGACTTACCAGCAGTGTAACAGTGACTCACCTGAAGTGTAACAGTGACTTACCTGAAGTGTAACATGACTTACCAGCAGTGTAACAGTGACTTACCTGAAGTGTAACATGACTTACCAGCAGTGTAACAGTGACTTACCAGCAGTGTAACAGTGACTTACCAGCAGTGTAACAGTGACTTACCAGCAGTGTAACATGACTTACCAGCAGTGTAACAGTGACTTACCAGCAGTGTAACAGTGACTTACCAGCAGTGTAACAGCGATACAGTGTACGGACTTACAGCAGTGTAACAGCGACTTACCAGCAGTGTAACAGCGACTTACCAGCAGTGTAACAGTGACTTACCAGAGTGTAACAGCGACTTACCAGCAGTGTAACAGCGACTTACCAGCAGTGTAACAGCGACTTACCAGCAGTGTAACAGCGACTTACCAGCAGTGTAACAGCGACTTACCAGCAGTGTAACAGCGACTTACCAGCAGTGTAACAGACTTACCAGCAGTGTAACAGCGACTTACCAGCAGTGTAACAGCGACTTACCAGCAGTGTAACAGCGACTTACCAGCAGTGTAACAGCAACTTACCAGCAGTGTAACAGTGACTTACCAGCAGTGTAACAGCGACTTACCAGCAGTGTAACAGCGACTTACCAGCAGTGTAACAGCGACTTACCAGCAGTGTAACAGCGACTTACCTGCAGTGTAACAGCGACTTACCAGCAGTGTAACAGCGACTTACCAGCAGTGTAACAGCGACTTACCAGCAGTGTAACAGCGACTTACCAGCAGTGTAACAGCGACTTACCAGCAGTGTAACAGCGACTTACCAGCAGTGTAACAGCGACTTACCAGCAGTGTAACAGCGACTTACCAGCAGTGTAACAGCGACTTACCAGCAGTGTAACAGCGACTTACCAGCAGTGTAACAGCGACTTACCAGCAGTGTAACAGCGACTTACCAGCAGTGTAACAGCGACTTACCAGCAGTGTAACAGCGACTTACCAGCAGTGTAACAGCAACTTACCAGCAGTGTAACAGCGACTTACCAGCAGTGTAACAGTGACCAGCAGTGTAACAGCGACTTACCAGCAGTGTAACAGCGACTTACAAGCAGTGTAACAGCGACTTACCAGCAGTGTAACAGCGACTTACCAGCAGTGTAACAGTGACCAGCAGTGTAACAGCGACTTACCAGCAGTGTAACAGCGACTTACCAGCAGTGTAACAGTGACCAGCAGTGTAACAGCGACTTACCAGCAGTGTAACAGCGACTTACCAGCAGTGTAACAGCGACTTACCAGCAGTGTAACAGCGACTTACCAGCAGTGTAACAGTGACCAGCAGTGTAACAGCGACTTACCAGCAGTGTAACAGCAACTTACCAGCAGTGTAACAGCAACTTACCAGCAGTGTAACAGCAACTTACCAGCAGTGTAACAGTGACTTACCAGCAGAAAAGGGTTGATCAGCAGTGATGATAGAGGTGAGGGTTGCAATTGCAGCAGCTAAGACCAGCAGCACCATTGTCGCAGCAGCAACAGCACTAAACTGACATACCAGAGCCATGGCCACACTTATATACCCTCGCATCTACGCCCTCCTTCCTTCAGCGACCACCCTGTTGCAAGGAAAACCCCAGAATACATCATGCAACACAAATATATCTTGCAATTGCAACAATCTGCGGGGATACAGGTTGATAATATGACTTGTGTCAGTTGTGGCTGGAGTGGGAAGTTGTTTTAAAGGATAAATGTGAACCCAGATGTTGCTGCATCATACAGGTCAACATTGCAACATGACCTCGTTGCTTGAGTAGTTGGGTTTAAAGCCTATCTACTGCAGCAGGGTCATTAAGCCTGCATAAACCTCTGGAACAACAGTTTAAAATACTTTAATGTGTAAGAAAGGGAATTAAATTCTGTGTATATACACTGAGATATACACATCTCTGTGTATATACACTGATATACATCTCTGTGTATATACACTGAGATACATCTCTGTGTATATACACTGATATACATCTCTGTGTATATACACTGAGATATACACATCTCTGTGTATATCACTGAGATACATCTCTGTGTATATACACTGATATACATCTCTGTGTATATACACTGAGATATACACATCTCTGTGTATATACACTGATATACATCTCTGTGTATATACACTGATATACATCTCTGTGTATATACACTGATATACATCTCTGTGTATATACACTGAGATATACACATCTCTGTGTATATACACTGATATACATCTCTGTGTATATACACTGAGATATACACATCTCTGTGTATATATATCTCTCATGCCACGTAATGTGCATTGTTGCAGACTGGTGTGGCAGTGTTGCAGAGTGTTGTGACAGTGTTGCAGACTGGTGTGGCAGTGTTGTGGAATGTTAGTGTTGCAGAGTGTTGTGACAGTGTTGCATGCTGGTGTGGCAGTGTTGTGGAATGTTAGTGTTGCAGAGTGTTGTGACAGTGTTGCATGCTGGTGTGGCAGTGTTGTGGAATGTTAGTGTTGCAGAGTGTTGTGGTAGTGTTGCAGGCTGGTGTGGCAGTGTTGTGGAATGTTAGTGTTGCAGAGTGTTGTGACAGTGTTGCAGGCTGGTGTGGCAGTGTTGTGGAATGTTAGTGTTGCAGAGTGTTGTGACAGTGTTGCAGACTGGTGTGGCAGTGTTGTGGAATGTTAGTGTTGCAGAGTGTTGTGGTAGTGTTGCAGACTGGTGTGGCAGTGTTGTGGAATGTTAGTGTTGCAGAGTGTTGTGACAGTGTTGCAGGCTGGTGTGGCAGTGTTGTGGAATGTTAGTGTTGCAGAGTGTTGTGACAGTGTTGCAGGCTGGTGTGGCAGTGTTGTGGAATGTTAGTGTTGCAGAGTGTTGTGACAGTGTTGCAGGCTGGTGTGGCAGTGTTGTGGAATGTTAGTGTTGCAGAGTGTTGTGGTAGTGTTGCAGGCTGGTGTGGCAGTGTTGTGGAATGTTAGTGTTGCAGAGTGTTGTGGTAGTGTTGCAGGCTGGTGTGGCAGTGTTGTGGAATGTTAGTGTTGCAGAGTGTTTGTGGTAGTGTTGCAGACTGGTGTGGCAGTGTTGTGGAATGTTAGTGTTGCAGAGTGTTGTGACAGTGTTGCAGACTGGTGTGGCAGTGTTGTGGAATGTTAGTGTTGCAGAGTGTTGTGACAGTGTTGCAGGCTGGTGTGGCAGTGTTGTGGAATGTTAGTGTTGCAGAGTGTTGTGACAGTGTTGCAGGCTGGTGTGGCAGTGTTGTGGAATGTTAGTGTTGCAGAGTGTTGTGACAGTGTTGCAGACTGGTGTGGCAGTGTTGTGGAATGTTAGTGTTGCAGAGTGTTGTGGTAGTGTTGCAGACTGGTGTGGCAGTGTTGTGGAATGTTAGTGTTGCAGAGTGTTGTGGACAGTGTTGCAGGCTGGTGTGGCAGTGTTGTGGAATGTTAGTGTTGCAGAGTGTTGTGGTAGTGTTGCAGACTGGTGTGGCAGTGTTGTGGAATGTTAGTGTTGCAGAGTGTTGTGGTAGTGTTGCAGGCTGGTGTGGCAGTGTTGTGGAATGTTAGTGTTGCAGAGTGTTGTGGTAGTGTTGCAGACTGGTGTGGCAGTGTTGTGGAATGTTAGTGTTGCAGAGTGTTGTGGTAGTGTTGCAGACTGGTGTGGCAGTGTTGTGGAATGTTAGTGTTGCAGAGTGTTGTGGTAGTGTTGCAGACTGGTGTGGCAGTGTTGTGGAATGTTAGTGTTGCAGAGTGTTGTGACAGTGTTGCAGACTGGTGTGGCAGTGTTGTGGAATGTTAGTGTTGCAGAGTGTTGTGGTAGTGTTGCAGACTGGTGTGGCAGTGTTGTGGAATGTTAGTGTGCAGAGTGTTGTGACATGTGTTGCAGGCTGGTGTGGCAGTGTTGTGGAATGTTAATGTTGCAGAGTGTTGTGGTAGTGTTGCAGACTGGTGTGGCAGTGTTGTGGAATGTTAGTGTTGCAGAGTGTTGTGGTAGTGTTGCAGGCTGGTGTGGCAGTGTTGTGGAATGTTAGTGTTGCAGAGTGTTGTGGTAGTGTTGCAGGCTGGTGTGGCAGTGTTGTGGAATGTTAGTGTTGCAGAGTGTTGTGACAGTGTTGCAGGCTGGTGTGGCAGTGTTGTGGAATGTTAGTGTTGCAGAGTGTTGTGACAGTGTTGCAGGCTGGTGTGGCAGTGTTGTGGAATGTTAGTGTTGCAGAGTGTTGTGGTAGTGTTGCAGGCTGGTGTGGCAGTGTTGTGGAATGTTAGTGTTGCAGAGTGTTGTGGTAGTGTTGCAGACTGGTGTGGCAGTGTTGTGGAATGTTAGTGTTGCAGAGTGTTGTGACAGTGTTGCAGGCTGGTGTGGCAGTGTTGTGGAATGTTAGTGTTGCAGAGTGTTGTGGTAGTGTTGCAGGCTGGTGTGGCAGTGTTGCAGTGTTGCAGAGTGTGTTGGCAGTGTTGCAGACTGGTGTAGGCAGTGTTGTGGAATGTTAGTGTTGCAGAGTGTTGTGGTAGTGTTGCAGGCTGGTGTGGCAGTGTTGTGGAATGTTAGTGTTGCAGAGTGTTGTGGTAGTGTTGCAGACTGGTGTGGCAGTGTTGTGGAATGTTAGTGTTGCAGAGTGTTGTGGTAGTGTTGCAGGCTGGTGTGGCAGTGTTGTGGAATGTTAGTGTTGCAGAGTGTTGTGACAGTGTTGCAGGCTGGTGTGGCAGTGTTGTGGAATGTTAGTGTTGCAGAGTGTTGTGACAGTGTTGCAGGCTGGTGTGGCAGTGTTGTGGAATGTTAGTGTTGCAGAGTGTTGTGACAGTGTTGCAGGCTGGTGTGGCAGTGTTGTGGAATGTTAGTGTTGCAGAGTGTTGTGACAGTGTTGCAGGCTGGTGTGGCAGTGTTGTGGAATGTTAGTGTTGCAGAGTGTTGTGACAGTGTTGCAGACTGGTGTGGCAGTGTTGTGGAATGTTAGTGTTGCAGAGTGTTGTGACAGTGTTGCAGGCTGGTGTGGCAGTGTTGTGGAATGTTAGTGTTGCAGAGTGTTGTGACAGTGTTGCAGGCTGGTGTGGCAGTGTTGTGGAATGTTAGTGTTGCAGAGTGTTGTGACAGTGTTGCAGGCTGGTGTGGCAGTGTTGTGGAATGTTAGTGTTGCAGAGTGTTGTGACAGTGTTGCAGGCTGGTGTGGCAGTGTTGTGGAATGTTAGTGTTGCAGAGTGTTGTCACAGTGTTGCAGGCTGGTGTGGCAGTGTTGTGGAATGTTAGTGTTGCAGAGTGTTGTGACAGTGTTGCAGGCTGGTGTGGCAGTGTTGTGGAATGTTAGTGTTGCAGAGTGTTGTGGTAGTGTTGCAGACTGGTGTGGCAGTGTTGTGGAATGTTAGTGTTGCAGAGTGTTGTGGTAGTGTTGCAGACTGGTGTGGCAGTGTTGTGGAATGTTAGTGTTGCAGAGTGTTGTGGTAGTGTTGAAGGCTGGTGTGGCAGTGTTGTGGAATGTTAGTGTTGCAGAGTGTTGTGACAGTGTTGCAGGCTGGTGTGGCAGTGTTGTGGAATGTTAGTGTTGCAGAGTGTTGTGGTAGTGTTGAAGGCTGGTGTGGCAGTGTTGCAGTGTTGCAGAGTGTTGTGGCAGTGTTGCAGACTGGTGTGGCAGTGTTGTGGAATGTTAGTGTTGCAGAGTGTTGTGGTAGTGTTGCAGACTGGTGTGGCAGTGTTGTGGAATGTTAGTGTTGCAGAGTGTTGTGGTAGTGTTGCAGACTGGTGTGGCAGTGTTGTGGAATGTTAGTGTTGCAGAGTGTTGTGGTAGTGTTGCAGACTGGTGTGGCAGTGTTGTGGAATGTTAGTGTTGCAGAGTGTTGTGGTAGTGTTGCAGGCTGGTGTGGCAGTGTTGTGGAATGTTAGTGTTGCAGAGTGTTGTGGTAGTGTTGCAGACTGGTGTGGCAGTGTTGTGGAATGTTAGTGTTGCAGAGTGTTGTGGTAGTGTTGCAGACTGGTGTGGCAGTGTTGTGGAATGTTAGTGTTGCAGAGTGTTGTGGTAGTGTTGCAGGCTGGTGTGGCAGTGTTGTGGAATGTTAGTGTTGCAGAGTGTTGTGGTAGTGTTGCAGGCTGGTGTGGCAGTGTTGTGGAATGTTAGTGTTGCAGAGTGTTGTGGTAAGTGTTGCAGACTGGTGTGGCAGTGTTGTGGAATGTTAGTGTTGCAGAGTGTTGTGGTAGTGTTGCAGGCTGGTGTGGCAGTGTTGCAGTGTTGCAGAGTGTTGTGGCAGTGTTGCAGACTGGTGTGGCAGTGTTGCAGTGTTGCAGAGTGTTGTGGCAGTGTTGCAGACTGGTGTGGCAGTGTTGCAGTGTTGTGGTAGTGTTGCAGACTGTTGTGGTACTGTTGCAGAGTGTTGTGGCAGTGTTGCAGAGTGTTGTGGCAGTGTTGCAGAATGTTGCAGACTGGTGGGCGTCACTCACGGGGATTTCCTAATGGAGTTCCCACTCTGTTTTTAATATCATGTTTAGCAGATGTAACATGACAGACATGACACAGGCGAGACATGACACAGACGTGACACAGGCGAGACATAACACAGACGTGACACAGGCGAGACATGACACAGACGTGACACAGGCGAGACATGACACAGGCGAGA